CTAATATTAACATCTCACAAGCTGCTGGCTAATATGTTAAGTTCCCAGGGAAACCCCAGTGAGTTTGGACTCACCCAGGTCCAAAGAGGAAAACCAGTGCTTGGGCCATCTGTTTGCTTTGGACAAAACTCATACCCAGTGACCTTAATGGAACTCATCCTTCAAATTACTCAGAAGAAAGTCTCTCTGGGTGAATTCTGCTATCATATCAGGATGCAAAATGTGGATGCAAAAGGGCAATTTTTAATTCATGCAAACGTTTGGACATTGTCTTAAAATTCTTTACAGTTACAACTTGCTGAACCCTCTTTGTTTCATGTGGGAGTAAAAATCTCTGGGGATGGGCCAGAAATGTCTGGGATGTACTTGTAGGGGAGCTACAGGGACTCTCTGAATCTAGTGTGAACACGGAATTGCACTGCAATGTTTTCTAACAGGCTGGTACCCTGTGGAGCAGGTCTTGCTGAACCTGTTATCAAACCATAGGGATTGAGAAATGCGGCTGTGCTTGAAGTTTTTCAAGTTTCTGATGATGCTTGACATTCATTTGATGATTATATTTGCTGACACCTTCTTCTGGATTTTGCAAAGTTAAGTCATTGCATCATTGAGAAAGCGATTTATCTAGAGGTTTTTAACGAATTGCAATTCATCAGCACAGTGGCCTTTGATTTTAAATAAAAGATACATGGGTCCCCAAAATTAAGAGTTAAAAGGAGAATTTAAGCGAGAATATTTAAACCTTGTACCTGTCTGTATTGTCCTATTCTTTGTCAGTGTCTTCTGATTGTTAGTGGAGTCAATCTGACATGCCAGATATCCTGGGCCTGTGATTTGTTTTTCAGTGCTCTTCTGGAGGAAGATTTTGATTTTTTTTTCCTTTTCACTTAATTTATACTAAGTGAATCAGTAATACTAAGTGAATCAGTAACCAATGATCTAGATAAGAGGATTGTCAGAGCCTTTATGTTTTGGAGTCAGCTTCAGGGTGTTTGGGCTAGAAATCAAAAAGAAGAAGAATGCAAAAAGATTTTAAAATTGGGGCAACACTTTAGTTTGAATGGACGGTTTGATATGAGAGGAGTCATCCCAGTAAGGGAGAAAATAGGGAAACTGGGTTAATAAACTCTTGTATTTGATTAAAACAAGAAAGAAATGAGGAGAGGGGCATGTCAATTAGCTTGACTGCAACAATCATTTTGCTCTGTATATTTTTATCAAAATACCATGTTTTACACTTAAATGTATACAACTTTTATTACAAATAAAAAGAATGCACATAGAGTAGAAGAGCGTAATCAAGAATCAAGCATATCTTTATGATCTTTTTGAAAAACATAATTGCTATTCTCTGCCACCATCTTACGGATGTGCTTTTTCCCTGGTGTTATTTTGCTCTTGGCTGGTTTGTCTTAAGGGACGATTCATTCTGCTCTCTCAGTGACCAGCTTTTAGAATAGAATATAATGCTCATTTCTGCTAGGAGAACCAGGAGTCATTGGAAAGCAGCGTGTTTCCAGCAAGAGATTTCAAGATGTGCCTCAAGTAGCTTATTAACACAATGCAAGGATACTGTCAGAAGTACAGGGCTGGGGAGACGAACCATGAGAGATGATGGACTCTGAAAAACAAACCGGGAGTTTTGAAGGGAGGGGGGTGGGAGGATGGGTTAGCCTGGTGATGGGTATTAAAGAGGGCACGCTCTGCATGGAGCACTGGGTGTTATACACAACAATGAATCATGGAACACTACATCAAAAACTAATGATGTAATGTATGGTGATTAACATAACAATAAAAAATGAAAAAAACAAAAAAAAAAGAAGTACAGGGCTGGGGAAAAATAGTAAAAGGCTAAAGGTCAGCCTGAAGGTAGGGTTTCTAGTGACCAATTCCCATCAAAAAGAATATAGTGACTGCAGCCATTGCAATTTATTAAAACCAGTTACTCTGAAAGGCTAAAAATGTCTAAAGGGGCTCAAAAGGAAGGAACATATAATAAAATGTGTGCCATGTGAAAGGTATGACCACCAAGGTGAGTCAGTTGACTGATGCTCTCTACCTCACAGAGATCAAACAGGAGAGAATCATTTATTTTATAAAGAAATACAGGGCATTGATTTATTTGATGCAATGTCTTCTTCCTGGGAGATGGTTCGAGCAGTGCTTGCAGCCGTAGTAACAGGTGTTGCAATCCAGGCTGCTCGCCCTCAGTGTATCCCATTGTTCAGGACTAGGCACCCATTCCCCCAGTGCAGGGAGTATTGGAGGCAGACAGCTTGCTAAAGGGAGCTGCCTGATTCGGGATCACATCCCTCTATGGTGGTAACCCCCATCTATCATCGCTGGAGGCTCCACACCCTGCCATCCGTGAGGAATGCTTCCGAAGGGCCCTCCTATCTCCAGAGCTCCCGGTGGAATCCACTGAGGTCTTGGCTGGGACTGCATCACAACTCACCTGTCTCATCTTGCTCCCTTTGCTCCCTGGCAGGTGTATGGGTGTTGCTTCCAGGAGCACACCATAGAAACCTTTCTGCTCTCATACCTCCATCTCAGAATCTGCATCCCTGGGAACCAATTTGCCTGTATATAAATATGTTCTGCTTGAAATGTAAGAAATGCTCTGGAAAGACCAAAGTGACTAGCCCTGCTGGGTTGCTAGAGCAAAAATATTGGCACAGGGTAGAAAATAGATGGCAGAGCTAAAGCTTAAGCCTGCTAAGGGATAACACACCTGAGAAATTTACATTTGACTCACCCTCTGTCCCAGTAAATATTCTAAAATGTGCTGATCTATTGTACACCGGTCACCTACATTTGGGGAGCAGGCAGATTGGTGATAAGAACTTCTAGAACAGACCAGCTGGTGTCAGGGAGGAGCTGTGGGGATCCTCGTGAGAATGGCCAAGAAGAACTTGCTTTCCTTATCCTAGTCTCCCATTTCATTATTAGCTCCTACTAGATTCAACTGTTTCTATATCCTTTGCCATTTACAGACCTGTACATCCTCAAAACTGTATCTGTGCACATATTTTTGCTAATATAAAACTTTGCCATTGTGATGGATGTGCCACGACTATTCTCATGTCTGACCAAAGTAGAAAGTTGGGATTACCTGGGTTTCTTCCCTTTATCTTATTTTCTATATCTACCTCCTAAATATCTCTATAATTCCCTTTTCTTCATTCCATCTACCTCTTCACCAGTTTAAGGACAAATATCTCTTTCCTAAACTATTTTAAGGCTTTTTAAATAGTCACTTTGCTTCTAGTCTTGAATTGGAATTCCATCTCTTACATCTATTAAATTCTCTAAAGTTCTTCATTCTTGTCTCTCCCTTCCTCTTTTTTCTCTATAGACCTTCCTTGGGAGATCTCATCTACTTCTGTGGCTTTGATTAATGTTGATATGCTTAAGATATGCTACAGATGCCACAGTATCCATCTGGGACTTTTCTCCAGGGGTCAAGACCTTTATATCTGCCAATTCTCAACTTGTCAAAAAAGGAAGTGACCATTTTCCCTCCAACTAGCTCTTCCTCCTCTATTCCCCATTTCAATGAATGCCACAACCTTCTTCCTGCCTAGCTGCCCAAGGCATAGACTTGGGTGTGATCTTTGATTTGTCCATCTCCCTAATTCCCCAAGTCAAGCCAATCATCGTTAACTCCATCTTCTTTAACATCTCTTGGCCTTATCTCTTACTACCACCCCTATTATAACTACCCTGGATTTACCCCAAGATCTCATCTAGTTTTTTTTATTTTTAAGCTGGATTTCTGCATCAGTCTCTTAACTGGTTTTTTGGTCTGTGCTATCCTGCAATCCGTTTTTCATAGGCCAGTGAACATGGTCTTTCTAATCTGCAAATCTGCATTCCTTTGCCTGAATTCCTTCAATGCCTACCCATTGTTCTTATAATAAATATCTTTGGCTTATAAAAACCCATTATAGTCTGGTCCCTACTTGCCTTTCAAACAATCTTTCTCCCCACATACTCCCACTGTCACTCACAATAGTCCAGTCATTAGAATTCCTCGGTTTCTTGAATGTACAATGCTTTCTCTTGCCTCTTTCACACCATGTTTTCTTTCCCTATGTTCTTTGCTTAGATGTGTTCATGGCTCCATCATGTGGAATGATCCATGTCCATAATCATCATAGTATTTCAAAGTAATTTTTAGAAAAAAGGAATTTAGGGCATCATAAATCATACGAACCAATTCGGAGAACATGTTAGGAAAATGCAGGCTGTTTGCAGATCCCTGAATATTTTCTAGGTTGTCCTGGTAGCTCTATGTGAAAAGAGGATGATGTAGACTTTTGTGGGTTAACTATCAAAAGTATCTAGATTAGTGGTTCTAAATTGGTGTTTTTTGCACTTCATGATACCATTTGACAATGTTTGGAGAAATGTTTGATTGTCACAAGTGTGTGGTAGAATGCTAACTCATTGATATGAATAAAGGTCAGGGGTGCTGTTAAAAACCCTACAATGCACAGGGTAGCCTTCTACATCAAAGAATTATCCAATCCAAAATGTTAATTTTACCAAAGTTGAGAAACCATGACCTAACTGAAATTAAAATTTCATATTTCACTCAGGCACACTTTTCTAGAACATAAACAATATTAATCTTGCAACAAGAAGACCAGAGTCCAGTCCTATCCAAAAACCTCTGTTCTTATATTTTGATTTTTTTTCATCTTTAAAATGGTAATTTAATACCTGTCTCATGGGATTGTTATAAAAATTAAATATGATGATGTATGAGAAAACCCTTAGTTCAGTGTCTGGAGAATAGTAGTTGCTCAATAAAATACTTGTTAAAAAAAACAAAATCTGACACATGGAGGATGGAGTTTATGGGGTGGAGATGAATAGAATTTATCCTGAGTGGTTCTTGAGTGCCTCACTCTTTTTTAGGATCTGTACACTTCTGAGAACACTTAAGAGAGGAATATGCATTGACAAAGATCCAAGGAGGTACACATACATACTTTTTGCTCTTCTCGCTCTATGGCTGCATTACACTTTTCTAACCCGCAGCTCCTCAAAAAGTCTCTGAGATAGCCAAATAGGGTTCCAAGTCCATATCCCAAGTAAGTGAAAACCATAACGTGAAGAGGTGCTTCCTCAAAGGATTCAACAATTGGCTTGTAAAAATGTGGCCTCCCATTTTGCTGAAAATGCAAAAGAAAATAGGTTAGTTCTCTTCCATTACAATAAAATATATATTTAAAATTTTTGACTTTGAAAATTTTAACTTTCAAAGGACATGTTTAGAATCATAAAAAGTGCTTAAAGAAAAGTGGAAGTTGATCATGAAAGAGGGTAATCAGAAAGGTATATTTTATTTTACAACCCCCTAATAAAATAATTGATTCAGGCAAAAATTCTCAACAGATGGAAATCCATTAAGTGAAAAGTTAATGAGGAATACAGTTTTTGCAAGATGCCAAAGTATCACCCCATTGGTTACTCCCTGATCACAAATCTGAGGTTACTACCTTGACCAGGTGATCAAATTCCATTACCAATGTTGGAACAAGGGCATCTGTGCTCTTATCATAATGTAATATTCAATACACTAATGATGCATTTAACCTGAATTTAGTCAAGTTTTTATATATAACTTCCATTTCACAAGAAACACCAAGATAAGGGGATGTGGCAAATGACTTCATGAGGAAACAATCAGATAAACCACAATGTGCACAGCAAAGGAAATTATCAACAAAATGAAAAGGCCACTGATGGAATGGGAGGAAATATTTGCAAACAAAATATATGATAAGCGGTTAATATCTAAAATAAAGAACTCATACAACTAAAAACCCCTTATATAACCTGACTTAAAAATGGGCAAGGTCCTGAATAGACATTTTCCCAAAGAAGACCTACAAATGGCCAATAGGTATATGAAAAGGTACTCAACATCACTAATCATCAGGGAAATGCAAATGAAAACCACAGTGAGATACCACCTAACACATATTAGGGTGTGGTTACTATCGAAAAGGTAAATGATAACAAGTGTGGGTGAGGATGTGGAGAAAAGGCAACCCTTGTACACTGTTGGTGGGAATATAAGTTCGTACAACCATTATGAAAATGTACAACCCATATGAGGTTTCTCAAATAATTAAAAAAATAGAACTAACACATGATCCAGCCATCCCAGTTCTGGGTATATATCCATAGGCAATGAAATCAGTGTCTTGAAGAGATATCTGTACCTCCAAGTTCATTTCATCATTATTTATAATAACCAAGATACAGAAATAATCTAAGTGTCTGTAGATGGATGAATGGATAAAGAATATAAAATATTGTAGAATATTATTTAACCACAAAAAAGAAGGAAATCCTCCCGTTTGTAACAACATAAATGAACCTAGACTACATTATGCTAAATGAAATAAACCAGGCACAGAAAGACAAATACTGTATAATCTTACTTATATGTGGAATCTAAGAAAGCTGAATTCACAGAAGCAGAGAGTAGAATGGTGGTTACCAGGGACGGGAAATAGGGGAAATTGGGAGATGTTGGCCAAAGTATGTAAGTCTTCGGTTATAAGATGAATAAGTTCTGGAATCTAAATGTACAGCATGGTTACTACAGTTAATAACACTGTATAGTATATTTGAAATTTGATAAGACAATATATCTAAAGTGTTCTCACCACACACAAAAAGTGGGAACCAGGTGAGGTGATGGATGTTTAATTAGGTTGGCTGTGGTAATAATTTCACAGTGTTTACATATATCAAATAACATTTTACATCTCGAATATATACATTTTTATTTATTAATTATACCTCAATTAAACCTGGACAAAAGAAGAGAAAAAGAGGGGTGGTAGAGGGGACTTAAAAAACATAACCCAATGCAGTGTGTGTTCTTTCATTGGATCCTGTTTTGTTGTAAAAACTTGGTTAAAAAATACATATTTTGAACAACTGCATAAATCCAAATATGGACTGGATATGTATCTTATTAAGAAATTATTGTTCATTTTGATAGGAGTGATAGTAGTATTACAGTTATATAAGGAAATACTTCAGTGCATGCTGAAGTATTAGGGGAATTAAATGTTATGACACCTGTAATTTTTTTTCAAATGGTCCATCAAAAATTAAATATATCTATGAAGCAACTTTGGGAAAATGTTAATAACTGTTGAGTCTATGGGGCGCCTGTGTGGCTCAGTTGGTTAAGTGTCCGACTCTTGATTTTGGCTCAGGTCATCGTCTCAGGGTTGTGAGATTAGCCCCATGTCAAGCTCCGTGCTAAGTGTGGTTCCTGCTTATTGAGTCTCTCTCTCCCTCTCCTGCTGCCCCTCTCCCCACTCTCTCCCTCTCTCTCTTAAAAAAAAAATAACTGTTGAGTCTAGGTGGAGGTCATATGAATGTTTGTTACATTATTTTTTTACTTTTGTGTGTGTTTGAAATTTTTTATAACAGAAAGTTACAGGAAGTATTTCTTTCTTTATATTAGGTGTCAATATTCCAGTGGAACATAACTTTTAGTACCAAACCATTCTGATTCCTGTTTAACTGATTTGCACATAGTAACACAACCAATATTAGCTCAGTGGATTAATGAGTAAATTATTCCTAAGGATAAGATTTAATTTTAAGTCTTTAATAAGTATTTATACATTAATTCATTATTTCACTCAACAATCATGATGCAATGCCCAGATTCCGCATTTCTCAATGAGAAGTGTTTTGACCACTTGGAATATGTAACTTTTAGTGACTTACAGGAAATTGTCAAATGTCTACTAATATTTAATGCATTAATTTAACTTACACATATATATTTAGAATGATGCATTATATAAAATCTTATTAATTAGAAGCATTGTTTTTGCTACTGTCATAATCTTTGTTGCCACTATAAACACTGTTTGATTCCATCAACACAGTTTTCTAGAGTATGTCACCTTCCTTTCCCCTGTGTTTTTTGAGCTGCAGTATTTTGGAAATCTCCATGTGACTTAGTCACTGCAAGTTTTATCCCAAGCCACAAGATATATGACAATCAAAAAACTCTGTCTGTAGATGAGTACTTATGTCTACATCTCTTGTTTTTAAAGCAATTTTTAAAAAGCCTTTTTATAATGACATTGAACACTTGAATTGTTAAGTCAAAGCCCCCATGAGATATTATTAAATCTTATTAAAATTCCTTGCCTCCTTATTTATTCATTCTATCAGGCTGCTTCTCTAGATACTCTAAATTAACACGGATGCATGTTGCTCTTGTCTCATATGTCTTCCCCAAACATTACCTGGTGTCTCAAATAATGACAGTGAGAGAGCATTGCTTAATATGAGGTCTTGAATGAGAGGTTATAAACAATGCCTTGTATTTGGGATTATAGGGCATTCATTGGGTGCCTACTGCGAGCTGACTATGTGCTGGGTTCTGGGGATTCAAAGATGAACACAACAGACCGGGTCCTTGGTTCCTGACTTCTTGACCTCCTTCTCGCTATGTCCTCCCACCTGTCCTGTAGGTCTGATGGACAGCCGATCTTACTATTCTGGCGCCAGCTTTGGCTCCTATCCTTGGCTTTGTTCTGTGCTTAACCTTTGGACTACATCTGTGTCTTGCATTCCAAGTGACCTCCTAACCCAGTTAGGAACCATCTCCTGGCTCCTTTCACATCATGGGGACACACCATTGGCTTCCTTCTTTCCTTGATTTGTCAGATTCCAGGAAAAGGGACTGAGATCCTCATGAAGGAGGATTTGATGAACTTTGATGGTAAGGTACAACATCAAGGAAGAGGGAAATGGAAAGTATGTGCAAGGGGCATTTTGTTACTGTTGATAAGAAGACAGGGAATTAGAAGGGGGGCTGCTAATGGGGGGAAGACTGAACTGGAGGTGGTTATGGCTCACAGAAGTGGGACTATTTGCCAGGCAGTTCGAGATGCAGGAAAAGAGAGGCCCTGGCTGAAACGGAGTCAACTGCTATGAGGCATAGTTTAAGCCAGAGTTGAAGGTGAATGAGATAAAGAGAAATTATGAAGAGAGAAGAACAGTAGGTTTGAGACAGAATTTGGAGACCCACTGATTTTAAGGGCACCATAGATGAAAAAGATTGAGTGAAAGGGACCCAATACAGGTGACTTCCAGAAACATGACTTAACCTGCTCACAAATTAACCACTTTGGTTGACTCAGAAGATGGCTAAGATGGCACGTGTAAAGAGATACACTTCCAGGCCATCCTGTGAGGATAAGCTGAAGATTTTCCTTTTTTCCTTTTCTGGCCCTATATCCATTTCTGAGCTCCATATGTGGCCAAATCAAGCAGCACATTTCCCCTGAAATCCATGGCAAATTTCTTCTTGAATTGGTTCCGAGGCAAACCTGCACTGCACAGAATAGTCTACCTAGATGCAAGTAACACTCCCAGTTGGGTGCACAGCCTGGGCTTGTGTACCCAGTGTTTTTGCCCCTGTGACTTGTTCTGGAAGAAAGTTATAACATAAAGAAGAAATGTTCAACAATGTCCATCAATTCAAACAAATATCTACTTTTTCTCATATAACTTGATTTATTTATTTTAGTTTAATTTAATGTACTTTTATTTGGCAGAAAGAAAATGAGATACCTTGATGGAGAACAAAGTTATCTGGAAATATATAGGTCTTTCTTAACAGATGGAAAGTGACTCATTTATTACATCCCTTTATTTAAAATTGAAGTCCATCATACCTCTTGGGAAAGGTATCTCAATCTGGGGTTGGATAGTTATTCTGAAATATGAGATTTTTGTCTTTTCAAAGTAAATGAAGCATTAAAATATTGCTTAATAAGTTTGCTGGCCAAAGGCTGACACAGCATGGGAATCCATAATGCACTTTCTTTCTCTGTTCTACCTTTTCTTTCACAGCCTTGAAAATAAACAGATCCTGAGCCACCTAGCCTAGAGTGCCTGCTCATTTGCAACACTGCAACACCCTGAGATTGGTTCACTTCCTGCATTCCTGTCACATCTGGAAATAAACAGGGTGTTGGGGCATGCTGGGAGGACCCACTTTTACAGGTGACGAGTCTTCCATTCAAATTAGCAGGGCTTTTGCTGGCTGCCTATTTTAGAAGTCCTATGCTAACATTAGAGGGGATATGAAATTAATAAATACAGTCCCTTTCTCTCA